GGACTGGGGTGGCTCTGTGGGCTTCTCGGGGTGGAAGCTCTCCTGAAGCCCCTTGATTGACCCCCCCTCCGGATGGCAGCCTGCGGCAAGTGCAGCCGGGCTGATGGCCGAGTGCTGTGATGTGCCGAGTGTGGGCACTCAAGGCACTCCAAGCCAGGACTGCTTTGCAAGCGGGGAACCCCCTCGGCTAGCCTGAGGCAGCAGCTCCACGCTCTAAGTCCTAACCTGATGCCCTGCTGGCACTGCTTCCGGCCATCCTTAACCTCAGTTCAGGGTCCACTCAGTGTGGACATGCTAGTTCGAATTAGCAAAACGCTAATTCGAACTAGTTTTTAAGTCCAGATGCGCTAATTCAAATTAGCTTAGTTCGAATTAACTAATTCGAACTAAGTTAGTTCGAATTAGTGCTGTAGTGTAGACATACTCCTAGGTTGCTGGGACTACCCTATACAGGCTGGAGGTGACTGTTGTGGAAAGGCTCTGCACCCACTAAGGAAAAAATGCACCTGTAGTATAAGGACAACAGCTGCAGAAAGTTTCTGGGACTAGCCAGGGAGTTTTTGTTGCAAAAACTGTAAGAAAAACAGTCTACAGGGAGCCCTGGAGACCAGTTCACTTCATCCAGCATGAAACTTTATGTGCACTTTTCTCAAAAGGGTATTTCAGCACTGTAAAATCTTGCATCCTAAAGTAAAATGCACACTTGGACAAAAAAAAATTAAAATAATCCTATCAGCTATAATTATCATTTCAAAAGGCATATTCAGTTAAGTCTACTATAGTCCAGTAATAAATTGTCAGTATCTGATATTATACATTACTACATATAAATATTTTTTTTCTTTTCTCCTCTACTGCTGAGAGGAATTCATTACTCAAAGTAGCAATGGGTACAAAATAGTGAGAGGTTATACTTCAAAAGAAATAAAGCAGAATCATTGCACAGTGTATCATCTGTTTTCATTGATACTTACAGATGTTTCAGGAAATAAAGTATTTTCTTAACTAACAAAGTTAACAGTCATACACTTAAAACAAAGCATAAGTCATTTTTCTTTTTAATCTATGTCTGCATATTAAAACTCAATGGAACATGAATCAGGAAAAATAGAATGATATCATATTATTACATTTAATTTATTGCAGAATAGTCTACATTCATTCTAAGTTTATACACATAAAAAGCGAAGCTAACATTACCATGTGAGTTAGAAGAATTTGACTTGTCCTGTTGAATGAGCTTCTGTGTAATGGACAAAGTTCTTATGGCAAATGTTCTTATGTATGATAGTATTGCTAAAGTTTCTCAGTCTAATCAGTCTAAAGGTTACATTAGACAGTCCTGTGCAATTCCAGACAAAGCATTTTTATAACTAAATGTATCTTTTATAGAAGTCCATTTAAAGCCTGTAAAGATTTCTATAAAACCACAAAAAATGTACTTTCTATTCACCTTACCCATGCAAGGATTTACATTCAAGTCTTGGTTGATTTGTGAATCAGAGGTGATCAAGAATGCTATATATAGTATTAGGAGTAATAAATAAGGGAACTTGTTAGAGGCATGAATCAGAGCAGAGAACTAAGAGTTAGGATTTCTGTATTCTCTTCTTGGTTCTGACCCTTGGGCTATGCCTAGACTGCCGCTTTTTGGGGGGGGGGGAGGAAAGGTACACAAATTACGCTTTGCAATTTGTGTACCTTTTTCCGATAGTTATGTCGGAAGAGGCTTTTCCGAAATGTGGCCCATCTACTTTGGACCACATTTTGGAAAAACCTCCTCTTTCGGAAGATCCCTTCTTCCTTGTGGAACAAGGAAGACAGGACTTTCGAAAGAGCGCGTCTACTCTTCTGCAAAAAATGTCAGAAAAGCAGATGCATTCCCTGGACACGGCGGAGTTTTTCTGGGATACTTCCAGTATCCCAGAAAAACTCCATAGTCTAGACATAGCCTCTGTGTTACCTGAGCAAGTCTAAGGCCCAAATTTTCAAAAGTATTTATTGTTTCATAATGTTGGGTGACCAACATGAGATACTCAAGCCCTGCTTTTTTATAGCTGCTGAGCGTGCCTTTTGAAGTAAACGAGACAGCACAGTGGAGTAAAGAAGTTAATTTTTTAAAGGAATTAAATAAATATATCTCTAAGCTGGCTAGTTTCCTGTAGGCTTCGCAGTGGTAGCAAGTGTCAAGGAGAGTGGAGTCAGAGAAAAAGGTATGGCCTTGCTCACCAGCTCAAGAGCATTTTGTGCCCTATTCAGCAGCACATAAAGTAAGTGTGACTACTCAGAGGCTTACGATTAAATATGTAGTTTTAGAACTTTGCTGAACTGGGTCCTAAATCTGGCCAGAACAATTTTAGTTTACATGAGGCCAGCCATGCAATTTGCTTCAGGAAGCTACTGCATTGGTAGAGTGGCCAGCTCCTCAAGAGGCTTAAATGACATGATGGCGAATTTGGAGGAAACAAAAGTGGTGATACTCTCCCAAGTTCCAACAATGGAATAAGCCCCACACATTTGAGTCAATGAGGTGCTATTCAAAGTAGAAATTAGGTATTACTCATGGTAGATTGTGCAGAGATTCAAAATATGGTATCTATGATATCTCTATATCTGGGCTCCTCAAACTTGGTTCCACTTTACCACACTTTGAATGTACCAATAGACTAGGTTGCACTCCTCAAACTTGGCTTTCCCTGTGGGGTACTTAGATTCGAGGATATGCTGGTTGGGCTTAATTCTTCTGTGGTAGTGCTCAGATCTCTGCTTGGCTCCTTTAACTTGGGAGAAAAGAATAATTGGAGGTATTTCCCAGAAGCTGCCCACACATACTTCATGTTGGCCCTGTCACTATGAGGATATTGTGCTCTTTCCTCTCTTTGCATACATGCTTTCATGAGCAAGTAGCTAACAAATTTGACAGGATCATCAATGAGCACTTGAGTTAATACCTAATTCCAGTAGTTCACACTTCTCAGAGCGTATTGTTTCAGACCATTTCATTAGTTAACCTACAAAAATGTGATCTCAGTGTTTCCTTGCTACTGTGACACTTAAAGACTTCTATAAAAGATTGGGAGCTGAGTTTCTGGAGCACATAATGACTGAGAGAGGCAGTAATACACTTATCACAATGTATTGGCTTAGTCTTAGCCCTGCTTGATAGCAGCAACATCAAAAGATATCAGAATATTTGTCTACACTTGAACTCCCACGAATGCAGCTCAGCTGGTGGTCAGCTGTCATATTTTGCTAACTTTCCCTAGAGTGCACATGACTTGAAAAGCAAAGCCTTTGATTGGGTAGGGACCGATTGTCCTGTCAATTCAGCTTGAGGGAACAGAGTCAGAGGGATCCATGGTGTCTAGGATAATCACTGAAAATGGGATGCCAGTGCAAGCCTGTAACTAAGAGTGAGTCTACACTGCACTGTTTCCCCAGAATAATGGAGATTATTCCAGAAAAATAATCCTAGCATCCACACTGCCATTCCGTTATTTCAACAGAAAGTCAAAATAATGGATGGCTTTTTCAGATGGCGGTAAACCTCATTCCATGAGGAATAAACCTTTTTCTGAAAAAACTTTTTCAGAAAAAAAGTGTGTATGGACATGGAATAGGGAGTTTTGTTGGAAAAAAAGCCTCCAGGAAATAACACAGGTGCTTTGCTGGCCAATCGGTCCACACTCATCTCAACTCTATAGTTCCTGTTCTCCTGCAGCTGTTAACACTGCAGACACAGGGGACAGGGCTTATGGTAGTTCCTGATGTCTGGGCAGCATGTCGCAGCCACAAGCCCCCCAAGAGCCTCCTGCCCATCCCAGGGAGCATGCACAGGACTCCCAGGAGCCACAAAAGGCATGCACTGTCCTGGTCTGGGGTAGAGATCTTGGCCCTCCTTGAGGTGTGGGGCAACAAGGAGACCCTCCAGGATCCAAATGGCACAACACCAATATCTATGGCCAGATGCTGACAGCCTGGCCACGAAGGGCTATACCAGGAGACTGCAGCAAGGTGAAGGAGCTGTGGCAGGTCTATGCCAGGGCAAGGGAGCGCAGCTCACACTCAGGAGCAAGAACCTACTTCTGCCCCTATTTTGATGAACTGCACCAGATCCTGGGGACAGTGTAGCTCCTTCCCCACCCCTTGTAGTGGACTCGGGGCTGGAAATATCCGTCATCATCCACCCGTGGGTCCCAGCCCACAAGGAGGAGGAGGAGCAGGAGAAGGAGGAAACGGTGATCACCATCACCTCACTCACTTTGGAGCCGGTACCCCAGGGCTTGGATGTTCTCCAGACATCCTCCGAGGGTGGGGAGGGATCATCAGGTGAGTGCTCTTAGTTTTACACACACACAGGGTGGAGGTGGCGGGCGCTGAGGGGCTGTGGTGTGATTTTCACTCAGCCTGGCCATCGTGCTGCAGTGTGTGCATGTGGATGAATGTGCAGTGCCAGTCTGTGCCACGCAGCCCCAGGAGGCAGCGCCGGAGCACCCCAGGCTCCTGCTCACAGGCTCTGGGGAGGGCTCTGGGGAGGGCCAGACACACTTCTAGTCCCCTGGGGGAGACACCCTCCCACCAGGAGCTACTGCTGGAAGGAGGCTGGGGACAAGGGCACATGCACACAGACTCTGGCGTCCCGCATACTGCACATGGACATGCCTGCATGATCAAGGCAGCACCCGCTCCTGGGGACCATGCTGCCAGGTGCAGGTGTGTGTGTGGCCGCAGTGGAAGCCCAGGCAGCTTGAGGCCCCTCTCCCAGCCATGGGATCCCAGTGTGACTGGCCATTTCCCTTGCCTGCTTGTCCGTAGGGTGGGGGGTGGCAGGGCAGGGAACATGGTCCCCAGGAACCTCTGGGCCTCTGTGAGGCAGGACCCACTGTCCAGGCCACACATGGCCTTGCTCCTGGGATATCACCTTCCTCAGACCCAAGAACTGTTGCTCTCAGCTCACTGAGGAGGGCAAGGGCTCAGGGACAGTGCTCCAGGGGTGACTGAGCCCCTCTCTTTATTCTCCCCAGCCGGACCAGCTGTGACTATGGGGCGATTGACAGCAGCTGAGCCAGCCGCCCGACCCTGGGGGAGTCGCGTGTCCATCCTCTGGGACATGCAGCAGATGCTGGCAGGCACATATGTGGACTGAGTGGCTGCAACAGGGCCACAACATGTGTGCAATTGTAGGAGATGATGACCTACCCAGCACCAGTCCCAGTCCCTGCTCCAATCCCTGCTCCCCCTCCCATGCCTGACCCTGTTCCCTTTCCCATAGCTGACTCTCCTCCAGACCCCTCCCCTGCCTATGCCCTTATCCTCCCAGGATACCCCCACCCCCGAGGTTGCTGAGGTCCCTGGACACGAGGCGGAAGACGCACCTGAGTCACAGGCTGCTCTCAGTCCCAGCTTTGAGTCTCTCCTCTCCCCTCCAAGTTTCTCAGTAGGAGATGATGACCTACCCAGCACCAGTCCCAGTCCCTGCTCCAATCCCTGCTCCCCCTCCCATGCCTGACCCTGTTCCCTTTCCCCCAGCTGACCCTCCTCCAGACCCCTCTCCTGCCTATGCCCTTATCCTCCCAGGATACCCCCACCCCCGAGGTTGCTGAGGTCCCTGGACACGAGGCGGAAGACGCACCTGAGTCACAGGCTGCTCTCAGTCCCAGCTTTGAGTCTCTCCTCTCCCCTCCAAGTTTCTCAGTTCCCCTCCCCATTTCCAGGTTCTCAGCCCCTTCTCCTCCCCATTTACTTCTATCCCAAATAAATAACCAACCAGTTCTTTTTTTTTTTTTTTTAAATAGCACAACTTGTGGCTACGTCTAGACTGGCATGATTTTCCGGAAATGCTTTTAACATAAAAGTTTTCCTTTAAAAGCATTTTCAGAAAAAAGCGTCTAGATTGGCACAGACGCTTTTCCGCAAAAGCACATTTTGCGGAAAAGCGTCCGTGGCCAAACTAGACGCGCTTTTGTGCAAAAAAGCCCTGATCGCCATTTTCGTGATCGGGGCTTTTTTGCGGAAAACAAATCTCAGCTGTCTACACTGGCCCTTTTGTGCAAAAGGGACTTTTG